GCCGCCAGGGCACGCTGCCGCGCTGCCTGCTCTATCGCCACGCGCGTGCCCCGAGACGGTCCCGACCGCGCGCCAACCCTCCCCCCTCCCTCTACCGCCACACCACTCTCTCCCCACTCCTCGAGCGCTTCGACCGCTCGTTATCGGATTCGCATTCAGGTTAAGGTGCGGCCGGCGTAATAGGCGGTTCGGTTGCTCATTAAAGCACAACAGCTCGAACAGAAATAACGCACACGAAACACAGCCGAGTCAGACTTCCATTACTTTCTCAACCGGAGTGGGCAGTCTTTAAACGTGGCATTTCTTTTCTTATCCTATATGTTTGAGTCCGCTATGTAATTTTGTGGTTTAATAGTTAGAAGAAAGAAATGTCTCTCTTAATATCTATGTAATGAGTTAGTCATTCGTTATTATTGAGGTTTCATTCTAACGGGAATGGTAAGGCTGGCATTCATATTGTGCCGAAGGAACAAACAACTTTCATTTTAGAATATATGAAAACTATGGTAATATTTTTAGTTACACAGTTTTGCAATGAAACCAAAGTACTTGTTATATCAGTACGTGCGTTTTGAAAACTAGATTTACTGGCTAATGTTAATATCAGTGGTCGCAATCCATCTAATTTCGTTTCGTATTTTCCTCCAGTTACTGAAAGTTAATAGTAAAATTCTTATTTCACATTTTTATGAGAATACCGTTTTGTATAATCGATTGTTTCAAGAAATAATTGTTTATCAATGTAAAGGCTTTCCGTTAATAGATCCGAGTTTGACAGAGGTCTTTTACAGGTTTGAGAAATTCTGAGTGCAAATTATATGATTCTCAATAGATTGTTTTGCGTAAGTAAATTCTTCTTTCCCAAATGTTTCACGCAGAGTGCTTATTTTTGTAATATTTACTTTTTTATGACTTCTTTGTATTAATAAAAATAAAAGAACGGTGGAGCATATTGCTTCAATGTTTTGAATAGTTACACATAATTCTTTGCAATAAATCACAATATTTTATAACAAACGAATATAAACTTCTCCCAATTTCCCTCCAAAGAGTATTACATAAATTAAAAATACATTTAAACTTGCACTCACTTAGTGTTGTTGTTTTCTGTATCGTTTTTCTTTCATTGTCCCTTGTCCTTTTCCATCATCATTCGCCTTTTCCTATCAGATAGGTTTTTTTTCTCCAAGCGAAACCCACGTGTCAATATTTCGCTTCTTCTCTTTCACTTGCCCGTAAACCGGGATTCGTGGAGTGAACCACAGCGGCCGTTACATCGATCGCTCGTTCGCAGGCTGTGCGCCGGCGATTGAGCGCCGCTAATAAACTATTCTTTGCAGCGCGCAGCGCCGAGAACATCAAACGGCTCATTGTATCATAAATTTCATTACGTAAGGAGCCCACCATCGCTTCGTCTCTGCGGCGACGGCGGTGCGGCGGTCCCCGTCTTCTGTTTGATCTCGCAGGCGCCGTTGTCGCGGCGATAGGCCAGGAGGCTGTCAATATGCAGCCTGTATGGTGGATGGGGATCATCTATTCGAGGTTACGAGAGAGAGAGAGAGAGAGAGAGAGAGAGACAGACAGACAGACAGACAGACAGACAGACAGACAAACACAGAAAGAAAGACAGAGAGAAAGAGAGAGGGAGGGAGGGTGAGAACTTCATTTCTAGGCCCCAATTTACATTAACCTTTTTTATTTTCACGTGAGATATTTTAGTCGTAAGTAAATAAAACATACAACAGAGAGACTAAAATGATTTCTTTGGAGGAAATTAAGGTTTATCATTGTTTATCTTTTAATGAGCCAATTAATAAATTACATTGATTTGATGTTGAACAAGTTACAGGGTTTGGAGACCTACTTTCACATATAATGTATAGTAATTTCCCAAACTGACAGGTTACAAAAGAGGAAATGAGTAATTGAAGATATTATGAAAATAAATTTTTTTTCTGCATAAGGTTACGAGACTAATTCAGGAGGTCTACGGCCCGTCTCTCCCAGACCTGTACGCACGTATTTGGATCGTATCATTGATGAAATCGTACGGAGCAAATCTCCGACTTGCACAGCACCAAGAAGCAATTTACTCTGGAAAACACTTTCTTAACGAAATGACGAAATTAATTTACGCTCAAAAATGAAGTTACGAAAGCACTTTTATAGTTAATGTCACTACTTATGAATATATCCTATAATGTGAAAGTGACAAATGTAACTCCGTAGTTCGTCGATAAACATGTGCTCCCAACTAGTATGGAAACTTGGATCATCTTGCTTAAAGCTGTTCAGCGAAAGCGATGGTTCACGGCTTTATGCGTGATTAGTCATGCAAGTAGCCTAGTTTGCAATGAATAATACTTCTTTACATCACTGACTTACTATGAAATTATTCTGAGCGTACTTTATACACCTTATTATAAAGTTACAAATAAATATGAGAAGTTTTTATTTTTTAGAAGAAATACATTTTAGATCAAACACACTTTTGTTTAGGCACCTTTGGTTTGCTTATTTACACCAAATCCATTTAAGCATTTTTCATAAAATATGAAATGTGCTTTTGCTAATTGAAAATGAAATAAAGTTTCACAAATTTTCTGTCATATTTTACCAGTTCTCAAGGCAGAATTATTCCATACAGGCCGTGCCTCTGCCCATGCCTCTCTATCGCGCCTCTCGTCGAAATTGAGGCGCGTTATAGTAGGCTCTCACGCCATCCGTCTCCGGTTACTGGAGCCAGCCCGCAGACTGCGGCGAGGCACTTGCGGCCATGTCGGGCTCCTCCTCCACGATATGCATGCGAGGAACGTCGTCTCACTTACCTCCCCCACCTCCTCCCTCCTTTTCTCCGCCCCCGGAGCCTCGGCATCGCTAGCGTCTTCCCGCGAAACTTGCGGGCGTAGCCTCAAACTCCGGCGCACGGGAGAGGCAGCGAACTTTACCTCCCCCGAACTCCCCGGCCCCGCCCATGCCCGCTCCCCGCCACTGTACCCCGCCCCCTCCCTCTCTTAACTCCCAGCCTCGCTAATCCTGCAGGACGCGGTGGCGGGGCGCGCGCCGCGAAACTCGATCAAATTCAAAAAGCCCGCCTTCTGCGCGCTCGATGAAATGACGAACTTCCAGCGCGGCTCTCTTACATATCACTCAAGAACCCCGCGGCGTGGAGACCGCGCTCGCTCCAGCGTACACTCAGCCGATATTCCATAATCAATGTATTAACTTTCGCCCAACTCCTGGAAAGTTTGTAACTGTAATCTGGAGGTAATCTGTGCAACCAAAGGCAAGGTTCTTGATGGTGCCGAAACCCGGGACGGAATCTTAAACCGGGTTAGACGTAAAGTAATTTAAAGAAACCCCGTATAAGAGTAGGGGGTTTGGGTTGAAGGGTTGGCCAGGGCTCGCCCCCCCCCCACCCTCTTGCCCCAAGCTGGCGTCGCTTGACGGTGGGTGTTGCGGCGCAGATTGCATAACACCGCTTTCGCAACCTCCCCCACTCTTGCTCGTCCCTCCCTCCAAAGCGACACTTCTCCTTCCCCGCTCCGACCCCGGCCACGCCCCCTTTTTCCATGCTAAGCGCGGACAAAGCCGTGCCCGGCGCCGGAGATTCGGGTAAGTGAGTTACGACCTCTCAACCCCCTAGCGTCTCTTTTCAATTTTGAGACTGGCGACGTGTGTTTTGGGTCGTTCGAATGGGGCGTTGTGTCGCCGGCGATGGAAACGACGGACGTGAAGTTCGCAGCCGCCTAGTTGACTTCTAGGGAGCGATGAATAAAATATTTTCTTCCCACAAAGACTCTTTTATGATGATAATTTGTTGGCGACGCGTCTTTTTGCGGCGAGAAGTGAATTAAAATGGTTTGCTGTCTTCTCGTTGCTGGAATTTCACGAACGATTGCGCGTGAATCTGGTTTACAATTTGCGAGAGAGTTTGAAATTCTTGCAGAGTATAATCGCTTTCGCGTTTGAGAGAGACCGCAAGCGATTCATATAAGAGCATGTTTATGAAACATCTGCGTTTATTGAAGTTTCAGTGAAGAAGACTCTACGAGTTTATCTGCGCTGCGAAGTTGTTGGAAAAGAATTTTGATGATATGATTTAATGTGGATGGTACTGAATTACAAGTGTTTAGAGAATTGCTTTTCCGCTTATTTGAAATTAGAATTTTTTCTTTGATACGGTGTTCGTAACTTTTGTATCTCCTCTATTTAAGCCGTTTCTTAAAGTTGAAGTAATGTAGTTTCCTAATGTATATACACATCAACGTAATACAGAATTCTCTGTTTTATTTCGAACAAAGTCTCCGTTATTTTATATATTAACAAAAATTTTCCAAAATTTATTACCATATCCAAATGTATAAATTCTTTGACTCCAAAAATACAAATAGCAAATCTTTATTTGTATTATCATTAACAGTTAATATTTCATTGTAATTAATTGAATTCATGCTACATGCCAAAACGTTATGATAACAATGAAATATTTATTATTATTATTATTATTATTATTATTATTATTATTATTATTACATTTGTATTCTAATCTCAAGAAAGGAAGTAAAATTCATAAAACAAGGTGCATGTTTAAGCAGTATTTACACTTAAAGTTTCATGCACACGTATAAGTGTAATATAGAAACATAGAAAATACTTCACAACAGTAACGGCTCGTGGTTTTATATACAATTGTACAAAAAACTAGGACGTGTTTAGTAAATAATAGGTCATTTCACAATTTCTATTTGCGAAACAAAGCAGTCGACAAAATCTGTAAAATAAAAATAATTATATCTTAATTATTTTAGTAAAATCATTTCTTATCAAAAAATATAAAACTCCATGCGTGGGACATATTTCTGCATCACACTTGAGGTTTCGCATTGTTCTGCCTGTCTGGGGTCTGGAAACAAATGTTGACTCATTTTAACAGCGCATTTCTTCTCCACTTCGCTATTAAAAATTGATGAAACCTTTCAATCTATTAATTTTTTCAGATATCAAAAACTCAAAACGTAATTGAAGCGATCACCACCGTTTTCGTCCGTAACAGCCCGCAATTACACCCGCGTTTTGAGGCCATTATCCCCTGGCGCGCCGACGCGCGCCTGCGACGCCGCAACGGCCAGGCGCAGCGCCGGTGCCATTTACAAATGAGCAGGAGCAAAAATTCCGCTCTCCATAAACCGGGCGACGGAGCGCGCACCTCGGCGTCGACGGGCGACGGCAGCGCGCCCGACGGCGGGTGCGCGCGGCTCCATTAATCCGCATTGTTGGCCATCACGGCCCGCTGGAAACGCGCGGCCTGGCACGGGCAGGCGGGTCGGCAGGGTGCAGGGGGCCGTGGCGGCCACCGCGATTGCCTCGTATCGCTTAGCGCCACCCTCCTCCCTCCCAGTCAACCGCCGTTCACCGCAGCCACACCGCCTCCCTCGCCCCTGAATCAACAAACAAACTCCCAGAGAACTTTATGATTGCAATAAAACTTGCCTGCTCTCCGGGAGCGGATATAAAGATCAAAATTTACATCCCCCGACGTCACCGTTCGGGGGCTATCCATACATGTGAACGCTGTTCGGCGAGGCGAAGGCGGGTGGGAGAGGGGCCCCGAATTGCGGTGGAGAGGGTGGGCGGGGTGGGTTATTCAGAGTCGTGCAGGCGACCGTTGCACAAACAGCGGGAGAGTGACGTTGCTTCTGCCAGCGATCGGAGAAAGGCGGAGTGGCTGCCTGAATGCAGGCGGATATTCGAACACGACGACAACGACGACGACGAAGCCGATGTCGAGCAGGCGGCGGCGGTTGTGGTGGAAGGGGAGGAGGCGGGGTGGAGCGATATTTCTACAGAGCGAAGAGGAAGGAGAGGGAGGATTCGGACTGAGGAGGCGTAGATAGAGATGGACGACGAGGTTGATGAACTGACGGAGGTGGGACGGTAGCAGTAGTGTCAGTTGTGACGGAACAGGCGGCAAAGACGGACGCGGATGCTCAGGTTGTCAGGGGCGGGGAAGAAAGTACGATCGGACAAGGAAGGCCGGTACGCCGGACGGTAAGGAAGGGGAGGCTGCGAAGTATGCGGCGCCGAAGGAGGTGAAAGTTCAGAAGGAGGAGGAAAAAGAGGAGGAGGAGGAGGAGAGAGGTGTCGAAGGAGTGGTGTTGGCGAAGAGGTGGGGAAGGCGGATTCAATGCCAAGGGCAGGGACGGGAGCTCAAGTGATGGTAGAGCCAGCGGCGAACAGATCGATGACGAAGGACGTGTTTTCTTTTATTTACTTTCTTTTTTTTTTATTTTCCGTTCCACCGTGTGACGCGCGGTGTTTGCTCGAACGGCGCCAGCCCAACTCCGACTGTGCGTGAGTGCGCGTATGTGTGTGTGTGTGTGTGCGTGTGCGTGTGCGTGCGTGCTTGGGTGGGCGCGTCGCCTATTGAAACGGCGAGCTCAATATGCTTGCAGTGTGTCGACTTTTGACATTCGTTCCGTTGGATGGAGAGGGAGGGAGCGAGGGGGTGGGTGGGCTTGCTTTACGAACGTTGCTTTATGCGGAGGACGCCGGGGACCGTATTTCCTTTGCGAGGCCAATGCAATTTGTTATCTCTGCTTTGAATCCGCCCGCGACGCTGTTTCGTACCCGGTGCTCCCGTGTCATTGGGCGTTGCGGTCGGCAGCTATTGCGAGGGGATCGAAACATCTCGAGCAGATGCGCGACATCACAAGATGCGCTTAGGAGGCTCTTTCGGCGGAGTCGTTCCGCTTCAATCGGCATCCGATGTTTTCGCAGATCCGTTCCTTTCGGGGAAAATTATCCGAATGTGGTAAATTACCCAAAAGGTCGTATAGGATGAAGTTTTAAACTTTCATATCTTAAATTGATGAAATAAGTGCTGTACTAGCGACAAAAATATTTCTCTCATAGAAATACTTGCAAGTCGATGTTTAGAGAGTTAATAATAATATTTCATTATTATTCAAAATCAAGACGTTTAATTTAGGTACTAGACAGAATAATTTCGAAAACTTTTTGCTGTATAGAAATTCTGTCACTGAAACTAGATAGCAAAAACAAAAGAAAATGTTATCATTTTTTTAAATTATCTGAAAAATTATTTATAAGTGAACTCTCAGAGAGAAATTTTAAATATCATGACATAATCATTTTTAATCTTCATAACACATAAAGAGTTCTGGCCACTTATATACAAGTACAATTGAAGCATCTAAAGTATTTTATTATTTGTTTAAAATCAAAAGAAAAATATCTCATCAAATAAAAGTTAAAATTCGTTAATACGCAAAATAACAAATAATCTAATTTATGGAATAACTTTCAAATCATTTAAAACCATTATAAAAGTTTTGATTGATGTGAAATTATATATTATATATTATTGAGTTTAATAATTTGTCGACTGAAATGTTTGTCGCAAAAATGTATTTTGAAAAACACACTCTTTGGATACCTAGTAAGAGCGGTGGTATTCTCACTGCTCTCAATCTCACTAAATGTTTCTTGAAGAAGCAATATGGTACTCAAAGGACTTCTTTAATCTGTTTTTTCAGAAAACAGAACTATTTGAGACTTGTTCCTCATACCGTACTTTCTGGAATAGTTCTAAGTCTTACAGATAGACTCGCTGAAATTTAATTAAATCCAACGCTCTCTAAAAGCTTCGTGCCAGACAGAGATCTCGTTTTAATAAAAGCTATGGATTATCTGGATTCTTCCTAGAATATAGATAAAAATGATCCCTTATATAAGAAGAGAAATCATAAGTACTTGTCGATAATTTTCATTTTGATAATTTTAAGGAACCCTTTCGAGCATATAATAAATAAAAAGCATTCTATTATTGTGGTCATCGTGCACTGGACAATTCATCTTTTGTCAACTGGAAATACTGTGTAAGAACAGAAACTGTTTCAGCATATTTTTCATCGTTCGTTCAATTTGCATCGCCAAGGGATAGTTTCATCTTATTAAACTGAAAGGATTACGTATTAAGTTTCAGTCAATCGAAACTTACTTTTTCCAAAGAGAACTACAAACCAGACGTAGGTGTTCACTATGTAACAGTTCTATGGTGCCTTCAGTAGGTGGCATGAAATTTTGCCTCAACTCAATATAGCATTTACGTCTGACGTACTCAGTCCTTGAATCTAAAATATTATTTCAATCGGCACTTGATAGTTCTCACCCCACATGCTGCAAAATTCTGGAAGATATGAATTGCAGACATATGCTTTTCATACGTATGGGCATCGCCTCACTCTACGGATTTATTTTCTCTGTTGCATAAGGTCGTCGGCGTCCAGAAAATGTACTAAAATATAACACAAAAATACTATGATTTATTATTTTCCCTTCTTTTTAATATTGCTACTATAAAGAATATAGTATTCCAATAGTTGAATCATTTTTATTATAAAAAAATTAAACCAATAATAAAATGACCCTCTTCTAGGGACAAACCTTCCTTGGATTAAAATAATTCTCAATATCACTTAATCATTTATCGCCAGTTTGCATAGTTATTTCCTATTAACACATTTCCTATTATCCTCTTAACACATTTAAAACACACTAGAAGTTTCACGACACGCTGTGCTGATCGTTACTGTTAATATCCGAGTGAAAATACTTTATGTAGGATAGAATGCAATATTTGTGCACTTTTTTTAGTACTGGAAGAAAATGTTTTTCAATTTGTATTTAGCGCCTGTGAAAAGAATGTTTTGTCGATAGACGAACAACTTGCAAAGTGGTAACCACTCGACGCACTAATCCCAAAAGTTAATGATTGTTCGGGTCCTTTTTCTTCTTAAAAATTGTGTCAAAATGTAGATATTTGTCTTATGCGTTGCATCTATTTAAATATAAAATACACAGTACAAACACGACACGATTTCTGAGAGTTAAATTCCTATTTTTCTCAGGTATTCCGTGTTATTACAGAATATCTCTAAACAAGTTTTGCCTGAGCATAGAGAGAAGAATCACACTCTGAATATTAACTCTCCTTTGCGAAAAATATTATAAACGTGAGTTTACTATTACGAAGAATCTGTATTGCAGATATGGTTCGAAATGCAATATTCTCCTTTGAAGTATATCCGCCTCCATTGCTCTGCCTTTGCTGCGTTACGGTTATTGCTTCTAGACGCTGTAGTAGTTTTTGTCACGCAAAACCCAATTGTGAAGCACGCCCTCCTTCATTTCCGGAGAAATGATATTTCAATCACAGGTTATATTACAGCAGTACTACATAGACTGACGTTTTTCGTCAATGATAACGAACAAATGTATTCTCTGCTGTCTCTGTGAACCTTTGAAGAAATTTCGCATTCCTTCGTTGGAGGGACTCTGGAATAGCGATATTGACAACAAAGGAGCGAATCTCCGGCCGCCCGTAAGTGGGGAGTCATTTAATCCCCCTCCCTTCCTTTCCCCTCCCCCATCCCCACAGGCCGGCAATCTCTGCAAGCGGCCGCCAAGCCGCCGTCACGAAGAACTTTTGTAGGCGATGGGACTAAGAATACGGTAAGAGTAGAATCGTATTCGACCGCATTCGCGTTTCGGAAAACAACCGTTTAAAGCCGAATCTTTTTTTAAATTTATTTTGATTACATACTTTGTCTTTCGGTCACGATTACGTCAACTCATCAACTTCTGTAATCCGAATAGTCAAATTGAAAGAAAAAATAATTTATTGGAATGTTTACAAACTGAATAAAACATTGTACCACATTCTATCGTATCATCTTATTTCACTTCTAGAGTTGAGAGTTATTAAACAAATCCGTTCAGGGTTGGAGAAAAATTTTAAAATGTAGATTTTTAAAATTGTATTTGATTGCTTTCATTCGTTTTATGGGGGAAAATATATTTTTTTAAATTATCTGAGATAAAATATTTCATTTTACTACTTGAAGAGTCAAATTGGAAAAAACATTCTCTACTGCCAAGTAACGTGTTGTGCGCTCAAACATTTAAACCTCCTAAATGTTAGATATCAGACTGACAATATCGGTACTAGTAACATAACTTTTCGTTAATATTATTGAGAGTAATAAAATAAAAAAGCATAACTTGTAGCAAATGTGCAATACACGTTTGCGTTTTGCTGTAAAATTATTTTGTACTTGTGTGTTGAGTTTGTATTTGTTTTTTGACTGTCATGAAGAAATTAGTGTTGTCAATACTAGTACGAGTGCATACATTTTATTAGAATGGATAATTCTCAGTTTACATCATGCTCGTTTTGTTTTTCATAAATTGTTTCTGTCTTTCATAGAATGTTTGTGTGCTTGTTGTTTTTGTATAATTGTCGTTTGTATAAATTTCTATAATTTACTAACACATTTATTTGGTTAATCGTAAACGTAGATCTTTTTAACATCATCACAGTGTTCGATACTAATGGCTTCAACTTAAATTCCTGTTTTATTCTTACTAAATAAAGTCTCATAACGTACTTGTAAATATCATGCACTTATGTCAAATGTGTGGTATTTCGAAAATTGCAGTTGTTATGTTACTTGAACATCAATATATTAAATTATAATGTCTTTGGGCTAAAATATCAGTTATGCTTTCAATAACATATACGCCTCTGGTAAAAATATTTTCCCCAGATCATTGCGTAATTTGAATTAAAATTCGGCTAACTATTTCGCGTAATAAATGTAGTTTCCGTTCTATTTATTGATCGTAGACTTCGTGGCTCTGAGCTCATTTCGCCCCACTGTGAGCGGAGGCTGGGAACAGGGGCGTTGCTGGCTCGAAGTCCGGCCATGGGCGACCGGTCTCTGCCCATTACGCCGTGCGCCTTCTACGGCGGCGGCCGCGGTGCGGCGCGGCGGGGCCGGCCAACTTGCTAATGCGAGTGCCCGCGCT